CTCTCAGAATTCCATATGCCTTCAATGACAATCAGAAGGGCTAAAACTGGCCGGGCGCAGTGGCTCATGCCTGTAAACCCAGCACATTGGGAGGCTGAGTCAGGCAGATCATCTGAGGTCAGGAGATAAATTCTGTATTTTGTAAAAATACAAAAAAAAAATTTTTTTTTTCAATACAAAAATTAGCCGGCGTGGTAGCAGGCGCCTGTAATCCCAGCTCCTTGGGAGGCTGAGGCAGGAGAATCACTTGAGCCCAGGAGGTGGAGGTTGCAGTGAGCCGATGTTGTGCCATTGCACTCCAGCCTGGGCAACAAGAGTGAAAACTCCGACTCAAAAAAAAAAAAAGATGGGCTAAAACATAAGCTTAGTACGTCTATTATCTGCACAGAACCTGAATGAATGTAAATGAGAGGAACCAAAAGAAAACCATAAAACAAGATCTTGTTTATTGAGGCCAGGTAAAGCCAGGCTTGTTGAAAGCATAAATTCGGAAGTCAGCAGCTTCCTCTGTATGTACTAACTGCCAGTCAGGGATAGCTGCATGTTGACCCGCTTTCCACAGCCTAATGAACTGACTTTTGAATTTACGCTGTGAAGACGGCTGACTTTACCTGGCCTCAATAAAGAAAACCCTGTTTGATCTTGTTTTTCTGTGGTGCCCATTTCTTCTCTTTGATTAATTAATTTTATATCAAAGTAAAATGAGGAGAGGAGCAGTAGACTGGGATAAAAATCTCTGCCCAGGGATCTTGACCCAGTTCCCATGTGCTTGATGTGATTTGTACCATCACACACCCTCAACTTTCTGATCTCAGTGACTCATCCCTGAAAGCTGCAGGATCCATTTAGGTTAATTTAGGATCTTTCATGAACAAGGAAGGAGAAGGAGTCAGGGGGCGGGAAGGAGGGAGAAGGAGTCGGGGCGGGCAGGAGGAGAAAAGGAGTGGGGGAGGGCAGAGGGAGAAGGAATCGGAGGCGAGCAGGAGGAGAAGGAGTCGGGGCGGGCAGGAGGGAGAAGAGTCGGGGAGCCAGCAGAAGGGAGAAAGGAGTGGGGCGGGAAGGAAGGAGAAGGGTTACGAGGCAGAAGGAAGGAGAAGAGTCAGGGAGTCAGGAAGGAGGAGGAGTCGGGGGGCGAGCAGGAGAGGAGAAGGGAAGTCAGGGCGAGCAGGAGGAGAAGGCAGAGAAGCGGGCAGGAGGGAAGAGGTGGGGGCGAGCAGGAGAGAAGAGGTGGGGCGAGCAGGAGGGAGAGAAGAGTCAGGCGGGCAGGAGAAGAGTCGGGGCGGGCAGGAGGAGAAGGAGTGGGGGGGCGAGTGGGAGGGAGAGAGAGAGAAGAAGGAGTCGGGGCGGGAAGGAGGAGAAGAGGTTGGGGCGGGAAGGAGGAGAAGGAGTGAGCGGGCAGGGAGGAGAAGGAGTGGGGGCGAGCAGGAGGAAGAGGTGAGGCGAGCAGGAGGAGAAGGAGTCGGGGCGGGCAGGAGGAGAAGGAGTCGGGGCGGGCAGGAGGAGAAGGAGTCGGGGCCAGGCAGGAGGAAGGTGGGGCGAGCAGGAGGAAGGAGTCGGGGCGGGGAAGGAGGAGAAGAGGTTGGGGGGCGGGAAGGAGGGAGAAGGAGTCGGGGCGGGCAGGAGAGGAGAAGAAGGTGAGGAGCCAGCAGGAGGAGAAGGAGTGGGGCGGGAAAGGAGGGAGAAAGAAGGAGTTAGGGGCTGGGAAGGAGGGAGAGGTAAAGGCGGGAAGGAGGGAGGGAAAGGTGAGGCCCAGCAGGAGGAGAAGGTGGGAGGGGCCACAGGAGGAGGAGGAGTCGCGGGGGCCAGCCGGAGAGGAGAAGAGTGGGGGGTGAGAGGAGGAGAAGGAGTTAGGCGGGAAGGAGGGAGAAGGAGTCAGGCGAGAAGGAGGAGAGGAGTTGGGGCGAGCAGGAGGAGAAGGAGTGGAGGCCAGCAGGAGGAGAGAAGGAGTAGAGGCGGGAAGGAGGGAGAAGGAGTTGAGAGAGAGAGGCGGGAAGGGAGGAGAAGAAGTCGGGCGGGAGAGAGGAGAGAAGAGGTGGGGGGCGAAGCAGGAGGAGAAGGAGTCGGGGCGGGCGGAGGAGAGAAGAGGTCGGGGAGCCAGCCCAGAAGGGAAAAGGTGGGGCGGGAAGGAAGGAGAAGAGGTGCAGGGTAGAAGGAAGGAGAAGGAGTCGAGTGCGGGAGGGGAGAAGAAGGAGTCGGGGCGAGCAGGAGGAGAAGGAGTGGGGCGGGCAGGAGGAGAAGGAGTGGGGCGGGCAGGAGGAGAAGGAGTGGGTGTGATGGGAGCAGGAGGGAGAAGGAGTGGGCGAGCAGGAGAAGGAGTCGGGCGGGCAGGAGGAAGAGGTGGGGCGGGCAGGAGGAGAAGGAGTGGGGCGAGACAGGAGGAGAAGAGGTAGGGGCGAGCAGGAGAGGAGAAGGAGTCGGGGCGGCAGGAGGAGAGGAGTCGGGGCGGGCAGGAGGAGAAGGAGTCGGGGCGGGCAGAGAGGAGAAGGAGTGAGGCGAGCAGGAGGAAGAGGAGTCGGGGCGGGAAAGGAGGGAGAAGGAGTTAGGGGCGGAAGGGAGGGAGAAGGAATCCCGGGGCGGGCAGGAGAGGGAGAGAGAGGTGAGGGCCAGCAGGAGGAGGAAGGAGTGGGGAGAAGGAGTTGGGGCGGGGAGGAAGGAGTGGGGCGGGAAGGAGGAGAAGGTGGGAGGCCAGCAGGAGGAGAAGAAGTCAGAGGCCACAGGAGGAGGAGGGAGTCGCGGGGGGCCAGCAGGAGGGAGAAGGAGTGGGGGGAGTGGGAAGGAGGGAGAAGGAGTTGGGGCGGGGGAGGAGAAGGAGTCGGGGCGGGAAGGAGGGAGAAGGAGTTGGGAGGCGAGCAGGAGGAGAAGGGAGTCGGGGGGGAGCCAGCAGGAGGAGAAGGAGTGGGAGGCGGGAAGGAGGAGAAGGAGTTGGGGGGCGGAAGGAGGAAGGAGTCGGGGCGGAAGGAGGAGAGAAGGAGTGGGGAAGCTGAGCAGGAGGGAGAAGAGAGTGGGGCGGGCAAGGAGGAAGAGGTGGGGGGCGGGCAGGAGGAGAAAGGAGTCGGGGCGGGAAGGAGGAGTGAGTTCTTCTAGGACAAATTTATAAGCAGAAAAATACAAATTAAAACCATTAGCAAAACTTTCCCAGGAAGTACAGAAGCCATAAACTATTGGTTGCTTTTCACTCTGATTACTAACCATATTTAATGAAATCCACACATCTAGGAATGACTGATGCCCCAAAATCTCAAAACTGCATATGTTCTACTTTTCTAGCAACAACAAATACTATGTGAAGAGGTAAAGCACAGTATTAAAAACTGGTCCCTTAATCACAGCAGCAAATTTCCCCCATACAACATGGAGAGAGAGATTTATTTATAAAATACATGAGACTAAAATCTTTAGAAAGAACTGGGATAGTAATTACATTTTTATATGTAGCAATAGAAAGTATTTTAAAATATTTTTCATGGATATTAATAACATCAGTAATTATCCACTGTTGTTTCCAACAATAGAAATAATTACCACAGAATAGCCACAAACTTAACACTAGCAATGAGGTAATAAAATCATCACAATTATATTTTTGTCTTTCTAGTAGGTGATCATGTTGTAGTATTTAACAGAAAAAGAGCCTTGTGCACTGTACAGAAATACTTCTATAAGTTATAATTTTCAGAAACATATAGAAATACATGAGGAAGTTTTCAGATGCACTGTAAGTAACCAATAAATTTTGAAATCAATTTTAAATTATAGATAAACCAGAATATAATGCTAAGATGACATTAATCAGAAAATCATAAAAATGTACCATACAGAATAAAAATACGTTTGAGAAAACCTAGAATCAATCTCCAGCAATCAAACCAATTACATTTGGTACACCAGAAAGGCAGTAAATTTTAAAACATGCCTTAAAATATTAATGGCATAAATCTATCTTTAAATGTGTCAACACAAATTACAAAATAAGTAACAAAATTGTCAAAGTAAGTTTTACTTGTTATTAGAGAAATTGTGATCAACATTAAAATAAATGCAAACACACGATGAGAAAAGGAGGACAGCAGATCCATAGCAGTTAGAGGTATTTCTGTCATCCCTATCCCAGGGTAAACATCAAGAATCAATCATTTCCTTACCTGGGCTCGTAGAGAAAAGAAAAAAAAAGATCAATCATCGCGCTCTTCCTCCGTAGGCCAAGATAAACCCTCGGAATCATTTTTTTAAAAAAACTTCAGGAGGCTGGCGTGATAGTTCCACCCTTCTAATCCCAGTTTTGGGACTTCAAGGTGGGTGGCTCACCTGAGGTCAGGAGTTCAAGACCAGCCTAAGCAACATGGTGAAACCTCATCTCTACAAACAGAAAAAAAAAATTAGCTGGGTGTGGTGGCTCATGCCTGTAATCCTGAAAAGCCTCAGAGTGCTGAGGCATGAGACTTGCTTGATTCTGGGAAGCGGAGATTGCAGTAAGGCCGAGATCGTGCCACTATACTCAAGCCTGGGCGTAGAGCAAGACTCTGTCTTAAAACAAAAAAAAGAAAAAAAGAAAAAGAAATGGATTTCAACAAATTTTTCTTTTCAAAGACAGGCTCTATGCTTAAACCACCACCGTAAAGCTCAATGAATGCAATGTATATTAGCAAAACAAGTCATTCACAAAAATAATGGGATATGCTCTTCTTAGTAAATAAAGCATACTCTTTCCTCGAGAGGTACACTTTACGAGAACTGACAATGAACATACCAGCAGGCAATAACAAGAATATTAATAAAAACAGAAAAATTCATACCCTTTTCAATGCACACAATACATTTTCTCATTCTCTATTATTCACTATAATAGGGAGTAATATAAGGCATTGGTCTTGAATTCCTGTCAAGATTCTCGACATTTTGTAATAGCGACAAAATAAGGCGAATGGTTGATGTATGGAATTAGAAAAGAGAGCAAACTTAACACTTTTGACCAAAAAGTCAACGTGACAGGTGCTGCCATGAAGCGCAAAGGCAGGGAGGCAGCTGAGAGCATCCTGTAACACAGCTACTCTCGCTTAAATGTGAAATGTCATTACAAGTTACCGGAAGCCCTCTTTCTTATCTTCAGTCAGTTGTTAATATCTTTTCAAAAGAAAATAAATAGCACAATCTCAAAGTAAACTTTTAAAGGATAATTTTCAAGTGTTCAATGCTGGCTGTTAAGCCAATTATTTCTACCTTACATTCAGATTCTGACAAAGAACAAATACATATTATTTATCTTTTTCAACTAAAAATGATACATATGTTATCAATTAAATTCTGCCAAATTTTGTCTGCAACATAAGATCAAACACCTATCAAAACATAAGTGTGCATATATATGAAAAAGCATTAAGAGCAAAATCAGTAAGGTTGTGTGTTACCAGATTTTCTATATCATTCTGTACACACATACAAGCAATTACTCGATTCCATATTAGTCAGTGGAATTAAGCAGACTTTTCCATGAAATAATTTACAACTCATTCATGACCCAAACTAATAAATAGCATCACCTCCCTAAGGTAAAAAAAGACAGAAAATGAGAACTAAAAGTTCAGATAAAGAGTTCAAAAGTTAAATTTGTCCTGTGGTTAGTACAGCATGAATAGAACGGGGATCAAATAAGCAATTTCAATTTCAAATTTCTGAGCTGAATAAACAGATAAAGGGACCGGCGCAGTAGCTCATGCCTGTAACCCAGCACTTTGGGAGGCTGAGGCAGGCAGATCACTTGAATCCAGGAGTTCAAGACCAGTCCGGCCAGCGTGGTGAAACCCCATCTACCAAAAATACAAAAATTAACAGCGTGAGTGAGTGCGTGCCTGCAATCCCAGCTACTCGGGAGGCTGAGGCAGGAGAATCACTTGAACCCAGGAGGTGGAGGTTGCAGTGAGCCAACATCACACCACTGCACTCCAGCCTGGACAAAAAGAGAGACTCCATGTCAAAAAAAAAAAAACAAAAAGACAAAAAAACAAGATATGATGTGGCATCACCCCAAACAGAAGGAGATGGTTCTAAAACAAAAGAAGAAAAAAAAAAAAGGATTCTAAAAGCCAATACTACTCCCTTTAAATATCATTTCAATTTATACACAAGTAGAATTAACCCAAGGCTAAAAGTATATAATAACAATTCAATCACTACGTTTGAGAGTATTTCACTTAAGGTCAAATGTGCCAGCACTATTACTGAGAAAGGCTAATGTGAAGAAGTAAAACCCATATTAGCAGATGTTAATTATCTAGCAGTAAAATATAACAAGAAAATGAATACTGCTGTCTTTTTAAAACTTGAAAAGATACATCAAGTTGAACGATAGCATAACTCTGTTGCTTATGTCATATTATTCTTTACTTATTTGACAGAATAATTAGCAATGATTTCAAATAATAATTTATTATCATGGGAACTTGAGGATCCACAACCTTATATAAGTCTGTACTAGTTCATCTTCTTATCTCCATCCAGAAGTATTGAACTGTGCAGCAAAGAGATTACTCTATGTGCCTGGCGGTAGGCTGAAATCGCATAGCCTCAGTAGAAAAGGATCTGTGCAATATAAAAAATAGAAGCCTACCTTTGCTTAACACTCCAGATATAGGAAGCTTTTAAGTCATCCCAAGAAGGTGGCTACCTACATGGTAGTTCTTTTTAAGTCATCCCAAGAAGGTGGCTACCTACATGGTAGTTTTGGAGAAGAACGATGCTCAACACTGCCATGGAGACTGCGTCATCTGTACCTTTTACCTTCCTTAATATCTAAAAGATCAGTAACCCTAAAAGCTCTGAGGAACCCCCCTGTTCACTAAATCACTCTTCCTGACATCAAAAAGAAACCAGAACAGGAAATTAAGAGAGAGAAGAAGGGAAAAAGGAAGGAAAAAAAACAAGAAAAATGATTTCGTTGACTGGGCGTGGTGGCTCACGCCTATAATTCCAGCACTTTGGGAGGCCGAGACAGGCGGATCACGAGGTCAGGAGATCGAGACCATCCTGGCTAACACGGTGAAACCCCATCTCTACTAAAAATACAAAAAATTAGCCGGGTGTGGTGGCGGCGCCTGTAGTCCCAGCTACTCGGGAGGCTGAGGCAGGAGAATGGCGTGAACCCGGGAGGCAGAGCTTGCAGTGAGCTGAGATCGCACCACCACACTCCAGCCTGGGTGACAGAGCAAGACTGTCTCAAAAAAAAAAAAAAAAAAAGATTTCGTCAACTGGACTTATGGTTACACTACCCCATCTAACCTGAACATCTTTATGGCACTTTACTAACCCCTATCAGGACAGAGCTACTCCGTGATAAGTGGAATAAACCAGCATGACAGTTGTATATAAAAATAAATCTTATTAGGTTTGCATCACATTATAAAGAAACAGAAAAACAAAGTTAAAAATAAATCCGTTCACCAACTCAGCAAACAAATCATAGAAATTTTTTTCAAGATGCTGACAGACAATCACTTACTTGACTCCAGATCATAAAATGAGTAAAGCTTCTCTGATTCTGAAGGTTTTCCATCCATCTGTGAAGGAAAGGGGAAAAACGCCAATAACAATTTCAACTGTTCCAATATATAAACAAATATGTTTGAGTACCTTTATATATTTAAATGGAAGTCTATCAGAAAGAACATTTTCTATATATTCTTTCTATTCTTCATTCTTATGAGACCGAATTAATCAACCACTTCAAAATAAAAATCTAACTTCTATCTTCACTCAACAGTTTAATCTCCAAGCAAAACTGTTGTACAAGAAGTTCCCATATTTTTATATTCGTAAAACTCTCTATAAAATTGTATACTGGCCAAGAGTCGGTAAACAATAGGAAAAGGTGGGGTATGGGAGTTCACACCTATAATTCTTTGGGAGGCTAAGGCAGGCAGACTGCTTTAACCCAGAAGTCCAAGGCCAGCCTGGGCAACATGGCAAAACCCTATGCCTACAAAACATACAGAAATTAGCCAGGCATGGTGGCATGCACCTGTAGTCCCAGCTACTCAGCAGGCTGAGGAGGGAGAATCACTTGAGCCCAGCAGTTCAAGCTTGCAATGAGCTGTGATCATGCTACTATACTCCAGTCCGGGTAACAGACCAAGTCCCTGTCTCAAAAAAGAAAAAAAGGGAAGAACAAATTGGGAGCCTACAATAATTTGAGAAAGATATTCACGCTAAAGACGGATGGAAAAATCTGAAAGGCTTCACCACAGCAGGATTTCGCAGAGTTTACTATTTTGCCACTTATGAAAAAGGGCCGAAGAAATCACTTCAATGAATTCTAGGAAAAAAAAGATAAGTACTCTTCCAGTTAATACTAATTATCTATGCATATCTTCCTTGAAGAGGCAAGTAGAAAATGACATACTTGCCCTGTGCATTAGTTCACAATAGCCAAGTTATAAAGGCAATGTAACAGAGATTACTGCCATCTCATATCGCAAATACAGAACCTCCTCCATCTTTATTCCCACAAGAAGACAGCAGGGCCTTCAGAGAGGCTGTGCATTTCTTCACTGCTATGGATTCCGTTATTAACAGGAAAAGAACAAATTTTTTTGTCTTAAGACATTCCCTGGAATAATCTACCTTCTACATTAACATGGGGTTAATTTCAGACTTAAATGGGAATAACACAGGCATACCTCATTTTCTCATACTTCACTTTATCGTGCTTTTCAGACATTACACTGAAGGTTTACATCATTGAGCAAGTCTATCAATGCCATTTTTCTAACAACATGTGCACACTTTGTGTCTATGTGTGACATTTTGGAATTCTCACAGTATTTCAAATTTTTCTTATTATTATATCTGTTACTGTGACCTGTGATCAGAGATCTTTAATGTTACTACTGTAATTGTTTTGGGGTACCACAAACCATCCCCATATAAGACCACAAACTTAATCAGTAAACGCTGTATGTGTTCTCACTGCTCTGCCGATCGGCTCTTCCCACTGTCTGGCTATTCCCCTATCTCTTCCCTCTCCTCAGGCCTCTGTATTCTCTGACACAACAATATTGAAATTAGGCCAATTAATAACTTTACAATGACCTGTAAGTGAAAGGACGAGTCGCACATTTCTCATTTGAAACCAAAAGCTAGAAATGAGTAAGCTTAGTGAGAAAGAAATACTGAAAGCTGATAATAGACGGTAAGTCAGGCCTCTTGCACCAAGCAGCCAAGTTGTCAATACAAGGGAGAGTTCTGAAAGAAAATGAAAAGAGCTACTCCCATGAACACATGAGTGATAAGAACGCACGACAGTCGTATTGCTGATCTAGAGAAAGTCTGAGTGGCCTGGATGGAAGATCAAAACAGCCACAATATTCCCGTGAGCCAAAGCCTAATCCAGGGGAAAGCCCTAACTTGCTTCAATTCTAGGAAGGCTCAGAGAGGGGAGAAAACTGCAGAAGAAATGCTGGAAGTTAGCAGAGGTTGGTTCACAAGGTTTAAGGAAAGAAGCCATCTCCATAACATAAAAGCACAAGGTGGCCAGGTGCGGTGGCTCACGCCCATAATCTCAGCACCTTGGGAGGCCAAGGCGGGCAGATCACCTGAGGTCAGGAGCTCAAGACCAGCCTGGCCAACAGGGTAAAACCCTGTCTCTACTAAAAGTACAAAAAAATTAGCCAGACGTGGTAGTGGGCGCCTTTAGTCCCAGCTACTCAGGAGGCTGAGGCAGGAGAATCACTTGAGCCTAAGAGGCAGAGGTTGCAGTGAGCCAAGATCACGCCACTGCACCCCAGCCTGGGTGACAGAGCAAGACTCCATCTCAAAACATACATACGTACATACATGCATACATGCATAATCTAAAAAAGTGCAAGGTGAAGCAGCAAGTGCTATACAGAAGCTGCAGCAAATGATCCAGGAGACCTGACAAAAATAACTGAATTTGGCTACACTAAACAACAGATTTTTAATGTAGATGAAACAGTCTTATATTGGAGGATGTCATTTAGGACTTTCATAGCTAGAGAGAATTCGATACCTGGCTTCAAAAAACAAGTGGATTTTTTTTTTTTTATTGTTATTATACTTTAAGTTCTAGGGTACATGTGCACAACTTACAGGTTTGCTACATATGTATACATGGGCCATGCTGGTGTGCTGCACCCATTAACTCATCATTTACATTAGGTATATCTCCTAATGCTATTCGTCCCCCTTCCCCCGACCCCACGACAGGCCCTGGTGTGTGATGTTCCCCTTCCTGTGTCCAAGTGTTCTCATTGTTCAATTCCCACCTATGAGTGAGAAGAGCTTCATCCATGTCCCTACAAAGGACATGAACTCATCCTTTTTATGGTTGTGTAGTATTCCATGGTATATATGTGCCACATTTTCTTCATCCAGTCTGTCATTGATGGACATTTGGGTTGGTTCCAAGTTTTTGCTATTGTGGATAGTGCCGCAATAAACATACGTGTGCATGTGTTTTTATAGCAGCATGATTTATAATCCTTTGGGTATACACCCAGTAACAGCAAGGGGACTTTTTTTAGGGACTAATGCAGCTAGGGACTTTAGGTTGAAGCCAGGGCTCATTTACCATTCCTAAAATGCTAGGGCCCTTACTATTTGTGGTAAATCTGCTTCGCTTGTGCTCTACCAATGGAACGACAAAGCGTAGATGACAGCACATCTGTTACAGCATGGTTTACTGAATATTTTAAGTCCACGGTTGAGACTTACTGCTCAGTAAAAAAGATTCCCTTTAAAATGTTACTGCTCATTGACAATGTATCTGGTCACCCAATAGCTCTAATAGAGATATTTAAAAACTCAAATGTTGTTTTCATGCCTGCTAACACGACCGTCATGCTGCAGCCCATGAATCAAGGAATCATTTTGACTTTCAAGTTTTATTTTAAAACTATATTCCATTAGGCTACAGCTGCCACAAATATTGATTCCTCTCATGGATCTGGACAAAGTAAATTTTAAAACCTTCTGTAAATGATTCACAATTCTAAATGCCATTAAGAATATTTGTAAATCATGGGAAGTCAAAACATCAACATGAACCGGAGTTCAGAAGAACTTGATTCCAACCTTCGTGGATAACACTGAGGGGTCAAGACTTCAGTAGAGGAAGTAATTGTAGATGTGATGGAAAGAAAAAAGGAACTGAAATAGAGAAAGAAACTGTGGATGTGATGGAAAGAACAAAGGAACTGGAATCAAGACGAAAATCTAGGAAATACCTTTCTACACATGAGTCCTGGGAAACAATTTATGACTTAAGTCCTCAAAAGCAATTGCAACAAAAACAAAATTGACAAGTCGGACCTAATTAAACTAAAGAGCTCCCACACAGCAAAAGAAACTTGCAACAGATAGACAACTTACAGAATCAAAGAAAATATTCACAAACTATGCAGCCAACAGAGGTCTAATATCCAGAATGTATAAGGAACTTAAGCAATTCACCGAGTAAAACACAAACAACCTCATTAAAAAGTGGACAAAGGGCCACGACAGTGGCTCACATCTATATAATCCCAGCACTTTGGGAGGCCAAGGTGGGAGAATTTCTTGAGCCCAGGAGTTTAAGACTGGTCTGGGAAACATGATGAAATTTCGTCTTTCCAAAAAAAAAAAGGAAAAAGCACAAAAACTAGTTGGGCGTGGTGGCGGGCACCTGTGGTCCCAGCTACTCGGAAAGCTGAGGTAGGAGGATTGCTTGAGCCCCAGAGGTTGAGGCTGCAGTGAGCCATGATCACGCCACTGCACTCCAGCCTGGGGCAACAGAGTGAGACCCTGTCTCAAAAAGTAAAAATAAAAAGTGGGCAAAGGACAAGAACAGACACTTCTTGAAAGACGACATATGAGTGGCCAAAAAACATAGGAAATGTGCTCTCCGTTACTAATCATCAGAGAAGTGTAAATGAAAACCACAAGAAGACACCATCTCATACCAGTCAGAGTGGCTATTATTGAATCAAAAAATAACACAGGGACGGGCGCGGTGGCTCACGCCTGTAATCCCAGCACTTTGGGAGGCCGAGACGGGCGGATCACGAGGTCAGGAGATCGAGACCATCCTGGCTCACACTGTGAAACTCCATCTCTACTAAAAATACAAAACACTAGCCGGGCGAGGTGGCGGGCGCCTGTAGTCCCAGCTACACGGGAGGCTGAGGCAGGAGAATGGTGTGAACCCGGGAGGCGGAGCTTGCAGTGAGTGGAAATCGTGCCACTGCACTCCAGCCTGGGTGACACAGCGAGACTCTGTCTCAAAAAATAAATAAATAAATAAATAACACAGGCTGGCGAGGCTGCAGAGAAAAGGGAACACTTACCAACTGTCCGTGGGAATGTAATGTAATTCAGCTGCTGTGGAAAGCAGTTCGGAGATTTCTCAGAGTTACCATTCAACTCAGCAATCCCATTATTGGGTATATATCCAAAGGAAAATACGTCACTACCAAAAAGATGCATGTACTCATACATTCATCACAGTGCTTTTCACAATAGCAAAGGCATGGAATCAATCTAGGTGCCCATTAACAGTAAAATGGATAAAGAAAATGTGATACATAAACACTATGAAATATTACACAACCATTAAAAAGAGTGAAGTCATGTCTTTTGGAGCAACATAAATGCAGTTGGAGGGCATTATCGTAAGTGAATTAACATAGAAACAGAAAACCAAATACCACAGGTTTTCACTTACAACTGAGAGCTAAATATTGGGTGGACATGGACACAAAGATGGGAATAACAGACACTGGGGGATGCAAGGGGCAGGTAAGGAGCAGGAAGTGGGCAAGGGATGAAAAGCTAGCTACTGGGTACCATGCTCACTACCTCGGTGATGGCATCCATCATACCCCAAACCTCAGCATCATGCAATACACCCATGCAACAAATCTGCACATGTACCCCTGAATCTAAAATAGAAGGTAAAACTCTTTTTAAAACAGAGAGAAGTAGAACCTGAAGAAGTAACTGATTTTCTGCAATCTCATGATAAAACTTGAAAAGATGAGGAGTTGCTTCTTATGAATGAACAAAGAAAGTGGTTTCTTGAGATGGAACCTACTCCGGGTGATGATGCTGTGAGGCATCATATGTTACAGCGAAATCATTTGCAAAAGGAAGAGGCAATCAAGGCGGCAAATTCGACCGTTGTCTTATTTTAAGAAATTGCCACAGCCACCCCAAACTTCAGCAACCACCACCTGATCAGTCAGCAGTCATCAACATCCACCAGCGAAAAGATGATGATGCACTGAAGGCTTTAACGATCCTTGGCACTTTTAGAAATGTATTTTTTAATTAAGGTATATATATTGCTTCTGTTGGCATAATGCTATTGCACACTTAATAGACTACAGTGTAATGTCCACATAACTTTTATATTAACTGGGAAGCTAAAAAGTTTGTGAGACTCATTTTATTGCAATATTTGCGTTATTGTGGTGGTCTGAAACTGAACCTGCAACATCTCTGAGGTATACCTGAAAATGCAACTGCATATGCTCATTTAATCAAAACCCAGCTATATTTCATGAGTTTTATACTCACAAGTTTGAAGACAACTCTGCCAAGAAGTCGAACGGAGTCTGGAGGGTATCTGGGTTTGCAGCTTTTAAGGCATTTGCATTCCCGTTTGTGGTCCGGCCAAGCTTTTTTCTATTAAGACAAGAGTGGGGAGAACATAGGTGACCTAAAATTTAACTTTCATTTATACTGCTTTTGAACATCGAGAGTCATGAACATTAAATTTTAATAGTCAAAATGTAACTGCACAATAGAAAATAAAAGCAATATTCTAAATCTGAAAATAATCCAGGATGAGTCTTTGCCAAGTATGCAATTACTATGCAAGGACATTAAAAGCTTCAGCTTCACCTCTGTGCTTTCATTTGTCCCCTGGTTATTACCTGGCTAGTGGAGCCCAAAGAAAGAGCCATTCTAGCTTACTTAATAATGTATAAGATGGTCTTTGAACTGATTAAATAGGATTCAACAATAATCATTTTGAATACAAAAAGAAAATGTCACTCCAAATTAGAAAATAAAACACATGGTTCAGAAGACTTAAAACAGGGATGACAGCCTTCTGAATTTCTGTGCTGCTACAGAAATATCAGGAGGACTAACATACCCCCAAATATAAAACCTCTTTGTTTTAAAAGCAACATAAAAAGAGCTGTTAGCTAAAATCATTACATGTCCAGTTTGTCCTGGATGTGTCTAGGTTTGTATCTATGTCCTGGCTTAAATATTAATAGTGCCCCTTTTCACTCTGAAAAGTTCTAGTTTTGATGACAAATGATACGGTCACCTAAGCCATGGTCCTAGCTGTGTGCTGGTCTGGCTAAAGAGACCACTGAGTCAGTTGCCAGTGTACGGATGAACGGACTGAAGGGAAGGACACTATCCCTGAGCCTTGGATCAGAAAGGCCATGGCTGTTTTCACACAGAATCACTTTCATATGGAAATAAAATCCAGGTCCTCTAATGTGTAGCCCTGGTGAGAAGCAGCAGCCTCAATCAAATGTCTCTCCCGTTATATTCTGAAAACTGGAATTTCCATTACTGAAATGCCTGATACCCCTACTCATTCTTATTTCAAAAATTAGAAATCTGCTCCCCAATTTCTGGGTCTATAAAACCCTCCTTAAAGGGACTGCTGTCACTTCCACCTGCAGTAGAAACATACAGCACAACCAAAAGTTTCAAAAGAGCTGCGGCTACTTCAAAACTGTGACTCAGGTTCAATGTCAAGCCAGTATTTTGCTCAGAACGACTATCCATGTCAACTTGTTGAGTGACAGCTTGGTCTGTCTTCTATTTCTTAGTAACCCAAATGGTGGAGACATTGTTTCTGACAGGCGTGTCACTCCTTCCATCAATGCTACTCACGGTTGCCTCACTTCCTCTGTGACAACCCTCTCAATGTGCTGTTCGTAACTTTTGTTTTGGTATTTACACTTCACTCACTTCTAAGCAAGACCGAGCTGATTCAAAGTAAAGATGTGTATGAACTAAGACTGCAAAACCAGAAACAGAAAATATTAAAATTATGGAAGGGGGAAAAAGGAAAGCATGCTAACATCTACTTAGCATTCTGCAAGGTACTAGACACATGACTAAGCAAATAACAAGGCACGTTTCATTTGATTTTCATAATAATCTAAATGGTAGGTGTTATCCCTCTATTAAAGATAAAGAAAGGCTCAAAAGCTGATCTCTAACTATCAGACTGCCTAAATATAAAAAGAGAGTAAAAATTCTTAGCATGCTAAACATGAGAGCTGAATAATTTGTGCATTACATTTGAGTGTCTGTACATTTATTTGAGTTGCCTCACAAGCAAGGCAAAAAAGAAGGCATGATGATTTATGTAATTCTCAACTGACAGAAAGTAAAAACAAATAGTTTCACCAAGGTTCAATCACAGGAGGATTTATTCCAAGAATGGGAATCAACACACTGAACAATGTCCTTAACAACAGTTCACAACTATAACGGCCTTTCATATGACTTTTAATATCAGTACTCACTGAAACAACAAGCTTCTGTTGATCAGGGAGCTAGTCCTGGACTAGCAATTAGCAACTACCAATGTGTGTAAAAGGCCTAAAATATATATGGTACAATTGTCAAGTAAGTTTTAAAAACACAATATCATGTTGACCCTACTTAGAGATTCAAAATATACTTAGCATCCTAAAAGTTCTAAATGCACTAAAGAAATGTGTATAAATTATTTAACACAGCTTCCCATGCTTGTTATTGTCACCCTTTAGGAAATTAGGTTGGTATTCACTGATTCAGATATACCTATATATATTTTTTTTCACCCGGTCTTTGCATGTGAGTGGGTTAAGCTAACAAATTTACACTCATTTGCACTCACAAGAAACAAGAGTGTGGACTTTTTTGGTTTTTTACTGATAGAACAGAGAACCGTAAGTTTGGCGGAAGTTTTCCTTTGATTCTAGAAGCTGAGAAACCTGTCAGATGCTCTCCTGGACACAGTGTGCAGGCAGGAACAGATAACACAATACCAATGGGTCTATCAGAAAGTACCTTAGGCTCTGTTCAAATGCCTGTGTCCAGCTGAACAGGGCTCGCACTCAGCAAAACAAGGCAGAGATAATTTGAGGCAAAAGAGCTTAAGAGCAGATTTTAATCAATGCTCATTTTAGCTACAAGAGATTAGCCATAACCCCTCTGTTAAAACCTAATTGAGCAGCTCAGCCTCCTGACAGCTTACCAGGGTGAAATAACTACAAAATGTACACCAGATAATGAACAACTCATCAGTTAGATGACAACATTTGGAATTAAACATCCAAATTTTGGGAAATTCCTGTTAAAACAACTTTAGGTCCTTAACATAATTGATATTGAGCTCTTATTTCTCAACAATAACTAGAAACTAGACAAAATGTTTCTTAAACTTATTCCTAGATCATTGCCTGAAAACATACTTATTTTCTCATTTGCTTCAGCAAAAATATGTTCATTTTTCCATCTAAAAGCCAAATCTGATCATTTAGGCATAAATAGAGAAAGCAATCAAATCACTTAAAATTGGTCTGTAATATGGTACCACATATCAGCCCATTCCTTTTCTTTTTAAAATATTAACTGCCAAAATTTATCATTCAATTTCACCTATCACATCTTACCATAAGGGTTACGAACACAAGCATACCACAGAAAAGGCATACAAAGAAATCTTTTTATGCAGCCCCTTTTGACTTTGAAGCAAAACGTGACAATCATACAAAAATAAAAGGCATTATCTTCACTCAACAAACTAACCTTGGTCAAGACCCCAATGACACATTTGTCATATATATTTGCCAATTTCTCAAAAGACAACCTTCGTGATTTACATTTTTTCCTATTTTCTTACATTACTTCCAATACAGGATATAATTAAGATTTTGCTGATAACACTGGCTGTTGTATTTTCTGTTATCATAGCTGAAAATTAACAATGATGTACAATAAGCATATATTGGCTTGAGAGACAAAGGAAATTAAAATATTGCATTAAGAAGCAAAAACAAAAGGAGACAAGAGTTTTATGCTGGGAAAAAAAAGGAAATGACATCTATAACGCAATTCCTTCAGTGCATACATGACTCAAAAAACAACTTCAGAATCTATACATTTTCATAATGTATTTTATAGTATTTATAACAGTTCACAACATAAACTAATTAACCACACCAATAGTTCTCAATGGGAGTGACGCCTATGTTGAGGGTTGTTTGAGAAATTTATGGGGGTATTTTTATTTGTCACATTTTTTACGGAAAATTACAGGCACTTAATGAGCAGGAACCAAAGGAGTCAGGAGTTCTGTGTAGGACAGTCCTACAAAATGAAGAATTCTCCAAATTCAATGCAACTTTTTTTTTTTTTTTTTTTTTTGAGACGGAGTCTCGCTCTGTGGCCCGGGCTGGAGTGCAGTGGCCAGATCTCAGCTCACTGCAAGCTCCGCCTCCCGGGTTTATGCCATTCTCCTGCCTCAGCCTCCCGAGTAGCTGGGACTACAGGCAACCGCCACCTCGCCCGGCTAGTTTTTTGTATTTTTAGTAGAGACGGGGTTTCACCGTGTTAGCCAGGATGGTCTCGATCTCCTGACCTCGTGATCCGCCCGTCTCGGCCTCCCACAGTGCTGGGATTACAGGCTTGAGCCTCCGCGCCCGGCTCCAGTGCAACTTTTAAGTGTCCTACCAAACTCTATGAAGGTGGAAAACTTGTTTATAATTGTCTTAGCCTAGAACTAAATCTCCTTTCACATTTAAAAACAAAGAGCTTGTTTTTACACAATCCTAACAGCACTGAATTTTCTAGGTAAATCAAAGGAAGACTGTTTTTTTAAGAATTTTACCTAAATTACTCAATTAAAGTTATATCACTGAAAGCACCACCACTTAGAGTATGTGAATTACTAATACAGCACGCCTTCTGACCCGCATCTCTGCTTCCCTTCTCACAGTGACTCTATGTATAGGTGCAAATATGTGACTAATGATGTCTTCCAGTCTAATCATACCTCAGCATTTACATACTAAAATACATATTATTTTATCATAGGTTTTAATTTTCTTTTTCCTTGTATTCCAATTATGGCATTATATTATGTTTTGAAAATATGTGACTAGATATATTGTATTACCTGTATAATTTCAAGACAGTAGAGAGGGCAATAAAAATATTTCTCATACAAACGGGAGTTGGGTCTGAAAAGTGCCGAGAAGCCCAGATCTGGAACAATGCTACAGTTATACGTGCCACACACATACACAAGAACGTATTTTTAAATACAGAGCCTAAGACCCACCCTAGGGATTCTGACAGTACCCATGAGATAGAATCAAGCGTCCCACTGCAGGGCTGCTGTGGTTTCAACGTGTACCTCAAAGTTCATGTGCTGGAAATGTAATTCCCAGTGCAACATGTTGAGAGGTGGGGTCTTTCAGTACCTCAGTGCTCATGAACAGATTTAATGTCACTATTGCAACAATGGGTTTGTTATAAAAGCCAGTCCGGCCCTTTCTTGTTCCCTCTCAGGAGCCTGCTCCTGTCACGTGATACCTTCCGCCATGTTAGGATGCAGCGAGAAGGTCCTTACAGATGTAATCCTTCAATCTTGGACTTCC